ATGCCCAGCTGAGCCGCACGATCATCAGAGGCTTTTTCTGACGATCCAAGCTCTGATGATCCAAGCTCTGACGATCCCAGCTGAGTTGCCTGATCATCAGAGGGTTTTTTTAAAAACCCTCTGATGAACAGGCAACTCAGCTGGGATCATCAGAGCCTTTTGAAAGCATTTTTTTACATGGTTTTACATGTAAAAAATGGGTTTAAAAGTAAAAAAAAAATGGCCACGCCCACCCAGTCACATTACCCCACCACCACCAAGCCACGCCCACAGAACCAGTAGTAACAAATTTTAGATTTCACCACTGGTTTGTACCTATTCCATATTCTCAATATGGCATGTTTAACATAATGAATCTGCATGAAACTTGTCTTTATTGTACCATAAACACCCATGCCATCCAAATCTCATGCCATGTCCTTCTAACTACAAATCTCTTCTTCATTCATCCAAATCGAACACCAAGCTGCAAATTACTATATCAAATCAGGTAAATCGATCTTCTTTCCTTTGCATCTTGTAACATCCTATATTTAACTTGTGTTTTTTTTCTCCTATCACACAAATTTTGATATATCTAAATATATCTGCCAGTGTTTTAATGGTACATCAATTGTCAAAACAGGTATTGTCTGAAACAAGGTATTGTCTGAAACAAAAATGTAATTCTAGGCAAGACAATCATTTTTATAACAGAAATTCTCTCCAGCGATTATGGTTATAATTTGTCCCATCTTAACATTTCTTTTAAACCTCATCTATTTTGAAATAATATACAATTCATAATTATCAGTGATACAGAGATAATTATTTTCTTCTCAAATCATAAACCCCTTCTATTCATCAATTCTGTTTAATCTACTATTTTCACATTTTTGTTAAGATATTTGTCTTCTATTTATTAGTCTTGAAACCTGCTAATGCATCATATTCTTCTAATCTGGCCATTAATATTTCATATCCATTCAAGGTATCTTCCAGACCCAACACCAAGCCATCTGCAAAAACTCTTACTTCTAACCTCCTTTTTTAACCTTTAATCTCACAATCCTCTCATCTTGTCTTCCATCTGGAACCAAAATAAACAAGACAGGAGACGATGGACACGATATTCCTTTTTGTATATCATGGGGTTTGTTAGATCTGAATTGATAATTATTTCTGCTTCCTATGAAGCGTAAAGCCATTTCATGAATGGCTTAAAAAACCCCATTCATTCCAATTTTGTTCCAAAAGGCATACTTCCCAAAACCTTGAACAAGAAAGCCCAGCTCAAATTATCACAGGCTTTCTCTGCATCTAAGAAAAATCAAGGTGGCTTGTTTTTCATTATGTTGCTCCAGATATTTCAAAATGCCCAAGACACTTCTTACATTGTTCTTTAATTAACTTTTTAAAAAATCCACGTTGATCGTCATGCATAAATCTTGCAAAATTATTTTCAGTCTATCAATTAGAATTGTTGTGAAGAACTTATAGTTATTATTAAATAATGATATCTTGTTTCCCCTAAAATAAGACACCCCCTGATAATAAGCCTAATCGGGCTTTTGAGCTAAAATAAGCCCCCCTTCCCGAAAATATTTAATTGCATGCGAAGTCGGTTCCCGCCATTTCCTCTGGTTAGGGTTAGGGAGACAGAGCTAGAAATCAGGTAAGATGGCAAGGGGAGCCCCGTCTTGCTCCACACGCCCCAAAATAATAAGACATCCCCGAAAATAAGGCCAAGCACTTATTTCATGGTTCAAAAAAAAAAAATATAAGATTCTTGTTAAAATCAAATCTTGTCCATCTTTAGATATGAATGCAGTATTGGCCTCTGGCAATTTTCTGGCAATTTTCCTCCCTGTGGTACAGACTTCATCGTTTTTTTAAGGGTTATAAAAGTTTATCCTCAAAATATTTATAAAAAGAATCTGATAATCCATCTGGTCCTAGTTTTTCTTTTTAATATTTTCCTTATTGTTATACATCTATTCGTAATTCATCTTTGTTCCTAAATGTGAGTTCAGTGCAACAGGCTTCTTAATGATCAACCAAAAATAGTGGGAGTTTTCATTAAAAAAATAGATCCTGAATATTTGTAGCCTATTTGGACAAAGGGAAAATCCTAATGTATTTTGTAGGAATGCAGTAACAAAGTATCTTGACTATTATTTCTCATGTAGATTTTCTGGTTTAGGAACAAAATATATGTAACTGTTGTCTTGTTGCATTGGCTTTTCTTACTTCTATTAACCTGGCATGGAAACTATGGAAACTCTTTGTCTTTTCAATGTTTTGTTTGTGCTTCTGCTTGCCTTTCAATGTTGGTTTTACAAGTCAACTCACAAAATGATGCCCAACTTACCAGTGAAAACCACCAAGCTCAGAGAACACTAAGGACCCCACAGTTCAACTCTGAGCTACAAATATTCTCTTCTATCGTTCATTACCAGTGATAGAGAATTAGTTTTGTAAAATTAATTTACTTCAACAAGCAAATTTATAGCATAGCAAGAGTAATATATCTACTCTTGGAAAAAGTTTGTTCCTAGAAAAAGTGCACAAAGCTTCATCTATTGAAATGATGCATTTTCTACACATCCTCATGTGAACCAAGCAGTAAAAAAGTTGTTTTAGCAAGTTTATAGCTTAAACAACAACAATATCCTTGCATCTCCATTACAGTATATACTAAATGAGCATGTCTTTGTCAGTCCAAGTTTGAAAAAAACGCTAAATCCTTCTATTTCATTCCATGGCTTGTTCAGATCCGAGAAAGTTGAGTCTGTGGAAACCCTGGTGCTCTCTGAGCTTTGTTGTTCGCTTGCAGAGATTTCAGTCCTGAGTGGGTAACATTATTATTGCTAATGAGTGTGGGGTTTTCTCCCTGTTTATGTACTGTGGCTTGCCCTGCTTTTGTTGATGGGGCTGTAGGTTTCTTCAATAGTTCCCTTAGTAAGGGTATTGTTTTCTGCTTTATTGTTTGTCTGATGCTAATCCCTGCTTATCTTGCTGTTGCTTGCTGGAGAGAATGTGTTCTAGTCCTTTTGGTTTCAGCTTTGAGTTAAGTCTTCATCACTCCCCCCGCCCACCTCTAAGAGGGTAAACATAGCCCTTGCAAAGTCAACCTTAAGCCAGACCTGATGATTTTATTTGCTTTTTTGGAAAGGTTAATTGAAGACCAATCAGAAATTTTAGAAATGAAAAAAGAGTGCTGTCTACTAATATGTACTAAAAGGGTCGAGACAAAAAGCCTATCAGAATATTTCCTTCCTTCCCCCACACTTCTCTCTTTTTAAGAGGATTACAAATTTTGGAGCTATTGAGCATACAAAGTCCCCATTGAGTGCTTTTTTGGACATTTTTTTGGGGGGGGATTGGTCTTTCAATTTAAAAAAAATCATTTTCCAAGCCATACATAATCTATCAGCATACTGTTACTTCTCCTTGTTTCTTAATAGTCTCAGTGAGTTTTATTTACTCCAAGGAAAAGTGATAAATAAATAGGTGAAGAAATACTTTAGAAAGTAAAGTTGGCATTTTCTCCCTGGATTGTTAATAACTATTTTCTTAATATATCCCAGTTTACAATATGTGATAAGCTATATTTCAAATATTTCATATAGAGTTGCCTAAAGTAACACATCCTTTATTAATAGCCCAGTTGATAGCAGCCCACAGATCAACAGCTATAGTTTTCAATGGGTAACAAAATAAAAAAGATCAATTTTTGGCAGAAAATCATAATACAGCCAATTTTTTTTAAAAGATGCATTTTGTGTATATATCAACTTATTCTTGTGGCGTTACTAACTTTCTCCTCTGTCCATTGCAATTCAGTGGTTTGTACTGAATTTAAGTATTTTTGCTTTATCTTCGATTGTAATATTTATTTATTTTATTAAATTTCTAAATATAAATTGCTGTCAAGCCAGTGTAACTTTGAGTCATCAAAAATACAAAAAACATTAGCCCCAGATGCCTGGTCTTGTTCTATATGAACAAGAGTCCTCACATCTATGGAGAGCTAACTGAGAACTTGTACATACTTATGTTCTTATACATACTTTAGCATACAGCTTCATTGAACCCTGAGAATATAATGCATAGACTCATTCCCCCTCTCTTCATATAATTTACTTAGCGATGACTGCATAATAATGCCTTGTTCAAAGAATGGCATAATGAATGAATGGCATAAAAAAGTGGTGAACTGCATTTTCAATGCATTTCCCTCTAGAAATAGATGTGTATCATCTTAACTGTTGTTTTTTCCCCCTTCTTTTATCACATCTTTTTAATTTGCAAGTGTGTGTAAATAGCAGCAAACAAATCTGCAGTTTGTATTTTTGGTTCACTATGATTCTCTCTTGTATTTCTGAACTGCTACATTTCTTCAAATTTCTATTAAGGAAAAAGCAAAATTGAGAGCCTTCATCTCTGACACCAAAAATTAAATTTCAAGAGGATTGTTCTATTATATTTCTTATGCAGGGGAACCTAATTTATAAATAGATGTATTTGAAGCAGTCTTCATAATCAAGGAAATGTGTCTATCCTAAACTTCCTTCTGTTGGCTTTGTCAGATAGGCTAGTAGTACAATTGGATCAAATTTCTGCATTAGCAGTAGATTTTCTCTAAAGGTTCAGAGAAAAAAGAAAAACCAGAAACCTTAAGTCATAAAGACATCCTGTCTCATTCTGAAAGGAGATCCCTCTGCTTAATTAAGTTCATAAATTAGCAGTAGCTATAGCAGCCCTACTTTGCCACCAAACGGAGGTAATGTAATCTCACCAATCTTTTCTGCTGTTGTAATGGATCCCAACTATCAATTAATATGCCCTTGAGCCTTTCCATTTGGTAGCATTATGATCGTGAAGAAGCTGATGTGCAGACAAAATTGACATAAAAGTGCTAAGCTGTGAAATTATTAATAGCCTAAGAATTATAGCAGGTTATTTTATTTTTTTTCTGGTTATGCTCCATTTTTTTTCATCCATGTTCTCATATTTAGAGTCCCCCCTGCTCCAACAGAGGCCTCTGGAGATACACCTACTTCACATCAAACATCTGGGGAAATGGCAGCGTTGACAAGTGATGCTGAGCTCAACAACCCTTGAAGTGGACTGCCTAGGAATTGTACTGTGTCCATAAATGTTGAGTGCATTACATTCAGAGGAACTGTAAAAACATGCAAAACAGTACACTTTCCCATTTACATGGTCAAGAAAAACAGAAAGCAGAATAACAGAGTTGGAAGGGACCTTAGAGGTCTTCTAGTCCAACCCCCTGCTCAGGCAGGAAATCCTACACCACTTCAGACAAATCGTTATCCAATATCTTCTTAAAAATTTCCAGTGTTGGAGCATTCACAACTTCTGGAGGCAAGTTGTTCCGCTGATTAATTGTTCTGTCAGGAAATTTCTTCTTAGTTCTAAGCTGCTTCTCTCCTTGATTAGTTTCCACCCATTGCTTCTTTTCCTGCCTTAAGGTGCTTTGGAGAATAGTTTGACTCCCTCTTCTTTGTGACACCCCCTGAGATATTGGAAGAGAACTCTAAATTTTTACTAGCCCATCCAGCAAAAATGGTGCTACACCAATAAAGATATATTCTAGCTACTATCACCTGAAAAATAAATGAGGGAAAAGTTAAAAACTGATCTTTGCATCAAATTAGTTGAGCCTATATCAGGGGTGAAACCCAGCAGGTTCTGACAGGTTCTGAAGAACCGGTAGCGGAAATTTTGAGTAATTCGGAGAACCAGCAAATACCACCTCTGGCTGGCCCTAGAGTGGGGTGGGAATGGAGATTTTGCAGTGTCCTTCCCCTGGAGTGGGGAGGGAATGGAGATTTTGCAGTATCCTTCCCCCAGGAGTGGGGAGGGAATGGGGATTTTGCAGTATCCTTTTCCTGCCACACCACGCCCACCAAGCCACGCCCACAGAACCGGTAGTAAAAAAAAAATGGATTTCACCACTGGTCTATATATTCTTACTGAAAGATGGGAATGAAAGGCAAACAAAAAGTTGAATAGATGTCACCATGCCAGCTTAGTTTGCTTCCCACATCCCCTCATCTTTGATGTAAATCCTGACAGGCTTTGTGACTAAGCTCTTAATACAGAAACCTATACCTTTTAAGGATATAATTACCAGCTTTGCTTATTATATGCTTTTACCTAAGACTGGGATTTTTATGTGAGTGTGTTCCCAAGCTTTTTGATTGTGTCAAGGAATTGAGATCCATTGCTGGAAATTTTTAAGAAGAGATTGAACAGCCATTTGTCTGGAATGGTGTAGGGTCTCCTGTTTGAGCAGGGGGTTGGACTAGAAGACCTCCAAGGTCCCTTCCAACTCTGCTATTCTATATTTTACATTGTCCATTCTAATCTTTTAAATAATAATAATAAAAAGAATTAGCAATACAACAAGAACTCAAGAACATGTGTTTTTGGTAAAAATAACAGACAAAAATTGTAATTGGGACTGATGCACTGAATGTCACCAAAACCAAACTAAACCAAACAAATGGAGGAGGGTTGGAATAATATAATAAACCCCTCCCCCCAATACATAGCTTCGGGGTAGGTTTGTTTTATTCTCCCTTCGAAACATGATTTCATTTATAAAAATATAACTACGGGTATTGTTAAAATGGTGGAGCAGCTAGTGTGCAGGGAGCAATCCTCAAAGATGAGGATTGTACTAAATCTTGTTCTGCTCATGTCTATGAATCTTAGATAAAAAGCTCTCAAGGTTGAATTCTACCCAGGATGCTTAAATGGCAAGATTGACAATTTGATTATGGCTTATTGGTTGAAGATACATCTGAAAACTCTTGAAAAACAGGCATTTCTAGAATACCGACCATAACCATGAAAAATATATGATCATGATTCTTGTCCATTTCAGGCTAGTCAGACTGCATTTGGAGTATTGCATCCAGCTCCTTTCTAGAAGGACAATGACAAACTAGGAGAGCAACCAAGATTATGAGGGATCAGAAAGAAAAAAGTATAACAAATGATTGGCAGTATTGAGTATATTTAGCCTGAAGATGAGAAAACTATGGGAAGACAGGATAGCTGCCTTCAGTTATCTGAAGGACTGTCATAGGCAGAATTGTTTAGAGGCGTTCCAGAAGATTGGACAAGAAACAACAAAATTAAATTGTAAGAAAGTAGATTTGTGCCAAATAACCAGAAAAAAATCTCTATGGAGATCTCAGTCATCCAGGTCATGGTTATCCCAAAGCTGCTTAATTTTTTTTTTTTTTTTTGCTTCTCATCCAAGAAACTTCTTCAAAACCTGGATGAGAAGTGAAATGTCTTCAAGGGAAAAACGAAGTCCAGTTGCCTTTTGAAAAAAGCACCTATGGGACATGAAGAAAAAATCTTAATAGGATCTATTTGACAACAGGCTACCTTGGGGGTATTGGATTCTTTAAGTGGAAAATTCAGAACCTTAAAGAGACACAATTGCCTTCCGGCAAAGATGCTGAAGGAGTTGATTCTGGATTGGATGATTTTCAAGATCCTTTCCAATTCTTATATTCTATGATTCTTTGATGCAGTATTAATAACACAAGTGTTGTAGTTTTATTGCTATTTAGTTTTTAATGAATCAGGCAGAAGATAGTTGCTTTTAGTGTTTGATTATAATAAAAATGAAAATACATATCCTTAAGAAATGATCTCTCAGATTCTCAAATTAAATATATTGCGTTGTAAGTTCTTTTCTTCATTATGATGATATATATCAAGCATTTGTCTGTGAATTTATTCCGAAGGGTGCTGAATATGGACCTAGTGTATGAGAAAGTGAAGAATTAATACTGGAAAATCTGTTGGAATTCATGTTTAGTTTTTAGAGTTGAATCAATGCAATTTAAATCAGTCATAATATTAATATTAGTCATAACATTAACTTAAATCTCACCTATTTCATTGAGGAAACCCTAACCTTCTGGTTGTGAGAATGCCTATGTGACTGCAATAGGCTAAAGATCCAGGTTGTAAAAATCCAAATGTCCACCAGGTAACAGAGTAAGAATAATTCTACCACTTTGCTGACACCTAGTGGTCAATCGGGATTTTTGCAGCCTGGATCTGATAATTTAAAAGCTAACCCCTGGATTTGGGGGTGAGGGGAATCATTACTGTGAAATGCACAGCATGCTTTACAAATGATATTCGGGACTGTGAAAATTGGATATGTATATAATAAACTATGATACATATTATGTATATGTTGCATAAATGAATAAGTAAATGTGGTTACAGTATTGCTATTTATAAAATATACTTTAATGAAACAAATCTCAGGTTGATATAATACAATCATCAAGTCCATCTTCTTAAATCATTATGTGTTAATTGTAGAGCTCAATGTTTCTGAATTTCTCATTTAAATATATAGTAGATTCCTTTATATGCTACAGTATTAAAATAACATTTAATTGGAGCGAAAATAAAACCTTCTAAGTTCTTTCACTGTATTAAAAAAAAAGGAATGAAAAGCAAACTATTTTGTTTAAAAAAATCAAGGTTATAAAATATTTTGGAATGCATGTAAACAACAAACTGGTAAAATAAAGTATCTAATTTTATAAAGTGTGCAGTTTCCTTGATAAATCAACCGCTTTCAGAAATAACTGTTATCTGAAGCTACTCTCATACATGTATACAGATTCTATTCAAAAGTCAAAGCTTTATCAGACTAAAAGACAAGTTAAAACGGAAGACTCTCTATCAGAATAATCTTACAAATGATGAGATTAATCTGCACATTAAAAAGCTTTTATAGCAATAGCACTTAGACTTATATATCACTTCACAGTGCTTTTTAGCCCTCTCTAAGCGGTTTACAGAGTCAGCATATTGCCCCCATCAGTCTGGGTCCTCATTTTACCCACCTCGGAAGGATGGAAGGCTGAGTCAACCTTGAGCTGGTCAGGGTCGAACTCCATACAGTGGGCTGTGAATTAGCCTGTAATATTGCGTTCTAACTACTGTGCCACCACAGCTCCTCCTATATATTTATGTATATACAAAATTCTCTCTCTCTATATATATATATATAGAATTAATATGTAAGAACATATCTAGAGACATCAACTTGGGTAGATAACATGGTGGTAGAATAATCAGCATTTTAACTCAAGCCTAACAGAAGATCATTGTGGGACTTTTATGATTGAAAATGGATGATTCGTATATCTGCTCTTATCAAAACCCTGTAGCCAGACTATATTAGCATTTGCACTGATTTGTGATCAGGATTCTTACTTAGGATTGTCCCACATGTTCCTTTTGCCCACCTGTTACTCTGCTTTTATATCTCATTGAGGAACTATTGTTGTTACCGTTGGTTGCACAGTTGGCCAGACATTTAGACTGGATTTGGCATTTTTGTCCACCTACTGAGTCCTCCCCAAGGACCTGGGTTAGCCGGATGTAGCATTATTACTATTAATTATGTGTGGGTAATCTACTGTACAGTTAGATTCACAGTCTATGGCTGGTGAAAACTTAATAATTCAAGTCCTAACCAAGGACTTAAGAATTATTGAGGTACAGCCTAAGCATATTGGCAATTGCAAGCAGGGTGGTTTCTTGTATTATTATTACAAAATTGTTCCATTGCATTTTTAGAACTTGAATTGTTTTACCTGTGTATAATTTGTACCCAATTTATATAATTTCTGTGATGTATTACACAGTATGTGGTTCTATAAATATCAAGAAAACTGTTAATGTGGGATTAAAAACAATTCATGGAATATAATACATATGCAGAACTTATAAATAGATCCAATCACAATGTTCAGCACTGCAACATTCTACTTGCAATGCCTATCTCCCACAAGAAAATGGCCAGATGGAAAATGATCTATAAAGTTGTTGGTTTTTTTTCCAGTGACCTTGTTCTGTCTCACAGATGTGAAGGAGAAGAAAGAAAGAAAAAGGGCAGTCAGGTTGACTAGGATTGAAAGCACATAAATCACTTGCATAAAAACACAATCAGGCAGAAAAATATTACAGTCAAGTATAGTTAGGAAAGTTCCTCATCGAAAGCCAAAATGCATGCTCCTTGTTGAGAAATACCTTGTCAAGAGGTAGCTGAATCCTATGATCTGTTTTTATTTTTGAAAAGAAAAAAAAGATGAAATCTCATTATAGCTACATTGCCAGTCTGCTAGTTACTCTTGGTTAATCTTGCTTCCTATTCTAACAAGAGCAATATTCCTGTCATGAAAAATTACTTCTATTGATAAAGGACAGAACTACAGTAACTTTTTTGATGGTGCATCCTGAGTTTGGCATCCTGATTTAGGACAATTCTACTCAAGCTATGGAGACAATGTCGTTTATACAGAGTAAGAGGTTTTTATAACAACAAATTATTATGCAATAAGAAAGAGAATCTGAAGTAGGCCATCAGGTATCTTGATTAAGGTGGTTTCAAGATGAATCTGATAAAGTGGTCAGGGATTTAGAAATTAATAATTATCATTCATAACTGAAAGGAATGATTTCAAGAATATATGCAATAGAGTTTTACATTATGGGAAGTGTGGGTATAGATTTGCATTAAAAAATCGAAGCTGGTGCCCAAAGAATATATCTAAATCAGTGATTTAGATATATTCCTAGAGGATTTCATGTAAGAATGGTAAGTAAAAGGTAATACAGAGAAAGCTTTTAGCCCCAATACAAATAATGCAATAATTCTAGAAGGAATGTAAATAGAAAGATACATTTCTTCATATCTAGTGGGCCTGTGAAAAAAGTTGTATCATTCTGGCAGAAATATTTCAGAAAAGTAATATCTATAATTAAGCAAAAAGTAAAATGTGTCCCTGAATTGTGTTGTTGTATATTTTAGTGGGAGACCATGGTAAACTGATTAATAAAGAAGTTAATAATATTCTTACCCTTAGCAGTCAAGTCTATAATAAACCAATCAAACCTTTTCCACAATTCAGTAAATGAAAATCGGCATGAAAAATATGATCTAAAGCTATGGCTAAAAAAAAAATCACAGAAAATTCAACAGAAAGCCAAATTACATTTTTTAAAAAAACAAACAAACTGAAATACAGATGCTAGAATAGAATCTTTATTGTGATCACTGACCATTGCATAAAATCCAGTGTGTTGAATGCATAATTGATATTGCTTAGCTAGATAGATAAACAGGTTTGTCAATGCTGGGCATTTTACATACTACATGTCAGGATTTAGCCACACTTAAGGAAATAGAGTTATTTGAATCTGAGAGTAAAGATTTTAAATAGAACTGTTCAGAGTGACCAGGATATTTCATTAGATGTGGAATTGGCTCACCGTAAGTTTCAGCATAAAATGGGCAATACTGAAAGGCATGTTTGGTGGCTTTTAAAACTCCTTCACTGCATGAGTAGAGTCACAATTTACATGGAATTCTTCTAAGACTGCTGCATTGAACTATGATAAGATTAAGGCCCTCCTTAATTTAAAAACAGTGATTTGCTTTAAATATTTAGCTCTATCAGTACTGCAAAGGCTACTTAGAAATACATCTTTGATATGTTTGAATATACATGTCTTTGAGAAGCTACTTGGTTGCCTCTACTATATGTTCTTTCTCTAACATGCATACTTGGGTTAAGGAAAAAACCACATATTTTTATGTATTGCCATGAATCAGGAGGAGACAAATTCATCTGAAAAAGACTTGAGGAGTTAGACCTGCTGGGAGAAAGACCAATTTAGTCCAATATGTGGTCATCTGCCAGGAGCTAAATTCTTACTAATGCCAATGTCAGGACCTAAGGTTGTGTTTGAAAAGCAACACAGGACTTACAATAATATATGACAATGTGGTGACAATGAAATATTCCAAATGCTGTGAACTTGTAATGTTATTGAATGAACCAAAAATGAACCAAGATTTAAAGAGAAAGAAAGAAATTTCTTACATGCATTTGAATCAAAAGAATTAAAGCAATGGGATTTATTTTATTTTATTTTGTTGAATTTCTTATGGCTGCCCACTACAACAAGCCAATCAAAAATAGCCCGTCTTTAAAAGCTTAGTTAGAAGATATTGCTGCTGCTGTTATTGTTTTTTCACTGTAGTGGCTCATTTTTTCATTGCTTTTAATATATAACTTATATACCTAGGGGTCTTGAATTCTGTGGGATGCTAGTAGGGAGTAGCCCCCAAATCCAACTGTGCTGCTTTATTATGGCAGGGAGGGGGTATTCTTCGTGGGGATAAGGGTAGAACTCCGAGGGTGTATGCCAAAATTATATAATCCCAGCAGAGTTGCCCAGAACATGAAGCCACCTAAAACAAGCAGGCACATATATTGAGCAATTCCAATACAGAAAGATGCTGAAGACAGAAGATCGCTTTAGTGACAATTGCTCATCAATTCATACAACAACGTAGGAGAAGGCAATAATAAATGTATATTTTTTACCAAGAAAACCATATAGATAGAAAATGTAATTGATGATATTGAGCCAAATGATAGGCCCCCTCATGTAATATGGCACACAACATGTTACTGAAGAAGAGCTGAGGATCTTTTGGAGTATTAATAGTGTTTATGACATAGCCAACATCTTTGGTATATTTAGTTGGTGATGTTGCCATGTAGGCAAAACTACAAAGAAAGAATTACAACAGGAACATAAAACATAAGAAACATAAACAAGGAAAATTTCAGCCCACTGAAAGATGAAATGGATCAACTACTACATGTTTACATCTTATGCACCAGCAAGTTAAGGTAGACTGGAATTGGTCACTTTAGCGGGAAGATTGCACTGTTTATTACTCATGACAAGAAAAACAAAGAAGGAACAGTGTTGTTTTCATAGTTAGGATAGGTATAACAAGAACATTCCTAGGCAACAATGCAGTCAATGACCTGAATAATATTAATTAGGGTTTGTGGAAAATCTTTTAATATTACAATTATCCAAGTTTATGCTCCAACCACTGAAGCAGAAAAAGAGGTTGATGAGTTTGATGATCAAAATTCAGTTTGAAATTGACAGAACATACAAGCAAGATGTGCTGCTTCTGGTTGGAAACTAGTGCCAGAATTGGAAATATTAAGTTAGACTGTATGGCCTAGGAAAGATAAATGAAGCAGGGGGGTATCTTATTATGTTATTTAATTGTTTCTGACTTGGTCTTTCAAGAACCAAAATGATACTTACATATATAGATATCATTGGATGGAGTACACAGAAATCAAGTGGACCATATTATTGATACAAGAGGTTTTAATAGCAAAGGTCTGGCCACAGACTGACAGTGGAAGAATTTACGAATTGTTAATGTGAAAATTCCATATTAAGCAGAGGAAGTTCAAACCAATTTCCACAATATGATTTTGCAAATGTTCCTACCTTTTTCAAGAACATCAGGAATTGTTTCAATTTGCTCTGAACATAATAGTTTAGGAACTAACGGAATGATAGAACGAAGTTGTTATAAGGATAAATGTGAAAAGAAACTACCACAGCTCAAGAAACAGAAAAAAGCAAACTGGATGTTAGAACAAATGATGGAAACTACTAAAAAGAGGGGAGGGGGAGGGAAAGCCAAGACA